GCCAGGAGACCGTCTATCGTCGCGGCTGCAAGCAGGCCTTTGTCGACTTCTGGGACAGAAACAGCGACATTATCAAATACGCCGGCCTGGTCATTGCCGCCATTGAGGTGAGTCCCAATTCAATCATTGTTCATTAGCTAATCAAAAATATTCCCCTTTTGCAGTTCGTGGGCTTTGTGTTTGCCTGCTGTTTGGCGAACAGCATTCGAAACTATCGACGCCGAGCGGACTATTAATGGGCTCCAGGTGGACCTGGATTACCTGGCCAGCATATGACTTTGTTGAGGCCTTTACTAATTTTAATGCAAACCGAAAGTACGAATTATTTTGCCCAATTTTATACAAATCATGCACTTACTTATTAATTGATATGATTCAGTTGGCCATCGATTCTCTCTCTCTCTCCCCTTTTTTTTTATTTGAACGCACTTTGACAATAACTGTTGAAAATTATATTCATAATCTTTGCACGGCTTTCCATATGATTGTGCTAACCTCTTTTTTTACTGTACAAACTAAATGTATTTGTAACGAATTTTTTTTATTTATACAAAATGCAATAAAATTATAAATTAATTGTATGTCTTTTCGTGTGAATGGAATTTTTTTCTGCAAATGCCTTAAATTCAGAGATAACGTAATATTAAGTTTAATAGAAAACTTTTGATTTCTTTGATATATTTGACACTTTTATTTTGTTATCTATATTTTTTTTCTTTCAAAAAGCACTTGGGTTATTTTGGTTCTTCACACAGAAGTGCTGATAGGCCGAAAATGAGGTCTGGAAATTATTTTCCGTTGCTGATAAAATTTAAAGCTAAATATTTCAACATTGAGACATTTTTTATAAACAAATTCTTTATGTTTTGCTTTGCCAAGGATTGGAGAGAAATTTATTTTGAAAAAAATGCTTAAAATAAAAGCTTTTATCTTTCGAATGTTGCACGTGTATATGATATCTAGATTCTTAATAATAATATGGTGTATAGTTTAAAAAGTAAATTAAAAAAAAACAAGTAAGAGGTTCTAGTCGGGAGCTGCCGACTAGGGGATACCCTGAACCCTTTTCTTCCGACAGGCGATAGGTATAAAATGAAAGATACTTGATACATACATATATACTATTCTAAAAGCTACATGTTAAGTTTGGTGATTTAAGCTCTTATTATTTACCAGAATTGCTTAAAAAAACAGGATTTCGATATCGATTTTTATCGATTACTTGTAAACGGGGCAGGTTATCGAGTATCGGAAACAAACTCGATCTGCGCGGGGACTAGGAGGACCTACAGCTAAAATTTCAAGTCTCTAGCTTTTATAGGTTCTGAGATCCTTGCGTTCATACATGCGGACGGACAGACGGATAGACGGACGGACGGACGCACGGACGGACGGACATGGCTAGATCGACTCGGCTGTTGATGCTGATCAAGAATATATATACTTTATGTGGTCGGAGATGCTTCCTTCTGCCTGTTACATACATTTGCACAAATACATTATAAAAATATTAGACAAATTGAACTAAAATCTTTGAAAAGTTTTAGTTACCAGGTCTATTTTTATGCATATTTTTTATTTCTTCCTTTTTTAATTGTGGGTCGTTTCTTTTAAATTCAATATAATTGATTTAATTTCATGCCTAGTAGCGCTAACTGACAATAAAGTAATTAAATAGGCTTAATGTTGCGTATTGAAACCCTCTTTGACCAAAATCGATCAACATTTTGATTAACATTTCAAGCTGGTTATCAATAAATCGAAATGTTGGGGGACTCCCGAAGCGTTGGTTTTTTTTGTGCACTCGATAAGACGATTTTGACTCATGTACAAGATTGCTTAATTAGCTAAACCAATAAATATATACCACATAATGTTCAGACCAAGATCTCGATGAGTCAGCAACAGCCTCAAAAGGTTTAACAATGGGACAACCTGAAGAATAGCACACAAAGTTCTCAAAGATAAATAGAGAATGTTTATGACTCAGGCTAGATGAACTTCTATTTGTCCGTATTCGACTGGGTAATAATAATAATAATAATATAGGGTAATAATATAATATACAGTTGACAGTATCATCCGCAAGCGGCGCATTCCGTTTTTGGGTACAATCCGATAAGGGTCCATTGATAAGCTACCCCAAGTCCGCCGCGAATGGTTTTTTTTTGTTGTTGTTGCCACAGATAACTGTGAAGATAAGCCGGTTAGAGTTGGGTCGACAATTTTTCATTATTTAGGCCCAGATCGTGGCTGTGGTATTTAATTTAGACGCGAGCTGTCGCAACGAACGGACTTAATTTGGAATCGATCGAAAATCAACGGAAACGAAATAACGAAACTAACAAAATGAATTGCCTATCCAAGATGTTCAAGTACTTGCTGTACTTACTCAATCTCGTCTTTTTGGTAAGTGGACAATATGGACAATACCATTTCCGGAACGGATCTGATTAGCAGCTCCTCCCTCTCCTCCTCCTCCTCTGATCTAATTGGATTTGACTTATTTGCAGGCTGGTGGCATTTTGCTCATCGTGGTCGGCTCCATCATCCTGTCCAGCTTGGGCTCATTGGGTTCCTTTAGTGACACATTTAATGCCCGTACCATACCCATTTGCATCATTGTCATTGGATGTGTCATATTTGTGATCTCCTTCTTTGGCTGCTGCGGCACAATACGCGAAAATGCCTGCTGCACGACAATCGTAAGTGGAACTCGTGATACTCTCTCTTTGAAACTTATCTAACTTGCTCGCTTTGTAGTATGCCATATTTATGTTCATACTGTTTGGTCTGCAATTGGCGCTTTCCATCTGGATCTTCGTGCAGAACGATTATTTCGTGGGCAAAATGGGCGAACTGGTGGATGCCGCCGGCAAACAAAATGATGCCGCCAATGGCTATCCCATGGATGCATTGCAGATATCCGTAAGTATTCATTATACCACTATTATCTTGGATGAATGTGAGACTAACGATTCGTTTGATTTAGTTCAAATGTTGCGGCGTAAATAGCTTTACGGATTATACGGTTGTGCCCTCCTCCTGCTGTGGCTATACGGATCGCAGCAGGCAATGCGATGCGGCAATTTATTCCGTGCGTGCTGGCTGCCGTGGCACGTTCACCGATTTCTGGAAATCCTATACGGATCTCATTAGCTGGAGCAGCTTGATTGTGGCCCTCTTCGAGCTGGGCATCTTTGTGATAGCCTGCTGCTTGGCCAACGCGATGAGGAAGCGTTAAGCTTTAACATCTAGTCTATATTTTACATCCCACATCCGCTCATCACAGTCATAAATAAACAAATTAGCTTTAGATACTTACAATGTGAATTTATTGTGGGCTGTCGATTTTATGATCTATCACATATGCATGCATATGTGTGTGTAAATGGCAAAATATCTTATCGTTTCGTAGATAATTTTGCCAAAATAAATTAATAAGAGGGCTATGACCATCAGTTCGTCGCCTTTTCGCCTCTAGGAACGCGTTGATAGTATATACATATTACTCATAGTTCAGTTGTTGATTACCATATCCCCCAGATGTGATAGAGCCTTGCACTTTGGTATATATGCACTACTTTATACCATATTTAAGCCCTGAAAATTTCATTAAGATCGGACTCCAAACACCGAAGTTACTCAAGTCAGTTTTGTCAGGGTGTGGGGCTTAGAGATGAAGAAGCACACACGTGTGTGCTTGAAGGATTTTAAATTTCCCACCCCCATAACTCGGTCAAATATAGACATAGGTCGAAATTTCCCACCCCCATAACTCGGTCAAAACTCAACCGATTTTCATAAGGTTTGGCTTTTTCTTAATGAGTTGGCCTCCAAATCAATTTGGCATCCAAGTCTGACAACATTATTTTTGGTCCAAATTCATGTGAAAATGGTACTTTCAAATATCCTATATAGACATAGATCCAAATTTCCCACCCCCATAACTCGGTCAAAACTCAACCGATTTTCATAAGGTTTGGCTTTTTCTTAATGGTTTGGCCTCCAAATCAATTTGGCATCCAAGTTTGACAACATTATTTTTGGTCCAAAATCAAGTAAAAACGGAACCCTCAAATATCCTATATAGAAATAGATCCAAATTTCCCACCCCCATAACTCGGTCAAAACTCAACCGATTTTCATAAGGTTTGGCTTTTTCTTAATGGTTTGGCCTCCAAATCAATTTGGCATCCAAATCTGACAACATTATTTTTGGTCCAAACCCAAGTAAATAGGGTACCCTCAAATATCCTATATAGACATAGATCCAAATTTCCCACCCCCATAACTCGGTCAAAACTCAACTGATTTTCATAAGGTTTGGCTTTTTCTTAATGATTTGGCCTCCAAATCAATTTGGCATCCAAATCTGACAACATTATTTTTGGTCCAAACCCAAGTAAATAGGGTACCCTCAAATATCCTATATAAAGATTTCCCACTCCCGTAACTCGGTCAAAACTCAACCGATTTTCACGAGGTTTGGGGTTTTGTGCATGGTTTAGCCTCTAGATCAATTTGACGTATAAATATGGCAGCATTATTTTTGGTCCAAAATCAAGTAGAAATGGTACCCTCAAATATCCTATATAGACATATGTCAAAATTTTCCAACCCCATAACTCGTTTAGAATACAACTTTTAGCAAAGTTCGCAGAACTCATTATCAGTTGGACTCTTGTGTATAAATAGTTTATTTGTGAAATTGATATAGTCGCAAGGCTCTCGGTGCGTATTAGGTCATAACAACTTGTAGCTGATTCATGGCTTATCAATGAATCAATTCTGGCCATAACATGTACCCAAAATATTTACTTTTTGGCTATTTCCCGTGGTTATTTTTTTCTTTTTGCGAAGACCTAGAGCAACGATTGCGTAGATTCGTGTTATCACTGAATGTGCTCGGCTGGCTGATAAGATACACAAATGGGAGTCTATCTAGATATGACAACGACTCGGTTAGTTTATAACGGCCGGAACAGCTTGAGGACAGTCGAATCGAACGACAGTAATCGACGCGTACACAAAGCGCGATAAAATATCAAAACTAATAAAATTTGCCAAAAAAATTTTGAATTTAACTATAGTGAACGATCCTTGGAAACGGCTTCAAAATGGGCTGCATATCGGGAATACTTAATATCCTTATTTACATCATAAATGTTGTGTTTTTGGTGAGTTAAACGGAGTCAAGTGAACTGTGTCAGATAATTCAACTAAATATCACAAAGTGCCTAATATAATATTTAAAAAATAAAAACACTTTTTCAAATAAAACATATCTTTTAAAGATAATCTTTCACTATTTAAATGCTGCTTATTAAAATTTTACTTATTCGACTTATTAAGAATTATATATAATCCGAAAGAATTGCATACGACAATCAAATAGTTTGTGCTTTAATTATCAAAAACATATATCTTTAATCTTAAATGGCGCGAATTCATTTTAATTAAGAACGTATTTCTTTGGTATTTCGCAGTTCACAATGTTCAAATATATGCATCTGATATATATCTATATATATGTATATGTATATTTATAGACAATTGTTGCTCATGCGATCGGGCTCATAGGATTATTATTTGCAATTTTCTATACTATATAGCAAGCTTTATCAGAAATTATCATTGTCAGCGCCTGAGTCACTTGAATGTACACTGATTGCATTGGTACTCTCATTAAGATAAAAGTTGAGTGACATACACAAGTATTTGTGGCGTTATCAATGATGGATTATGTCTGCTTTGTAATAATGATAACGATAAAGGAGGCATTAATCATACTGTAACATTGTTTTTTTCATATCTGTTCGATATTAACAAGTCGACTATATCACATTATTTCATATAGAAATACGAATTTCTCTTTTTGAACATCAAAATGAAAAAATGTGTTAAAATAAGCAAAGATAAAGTTTCTTTGATGGCAAATAACACAATTTTGAGCCAAATATGAAAGCTTCTTAGGCCTACTAGAATCCATGAGAATTGCGTAGAAGGGCATACATTTTTTTATTTAATATATTAAAATAAGCAAAGATAAAGTTTCTTAGATGACAAATAACACAATTTTATGCAGAAGTCGGCCTCTGAGGCTTACTAGAATCCATGAGAATTGCATAGAAGGGCATATATTTTTATATTTAAATAAGCGACTGCAAGCAACTAAGATATTCTCCATAAATCATATTATAATGAATTTAAACTATATTCGAATAGGTTGTGGGCATATTGCTGATTGTGTTGGGCTCCATAATGCTGTCCAACTTTAGCCGCCTAACCGAGCTGGAGCAGCTGAGCAGCGCCAATACCATACCCGTCTGTGTGACCGTACTGGGCGTCCTGATATTCCTGGTCTCCTTCTTCGGCTGCTGCGGTATCTGGCGCCAGAGCGCCTGCCTCACAAGCACGGTGGGTTTTTTCCGGTCTCCAATACAAGCTCATATTTGATTGATTTTAGTTTTTAATATTTTTAGTATGCTACCCTGATGTTTTTACTTTTCGTGCTGCAACTGGTGCTCACCTGCTGGATCGCTGTAAATGGGCAAGAATTTTTGCAGGACATGAGCAAGCTGGTGACCACAATTTGGAATGATAACAACGCGACGAATGGCTATCCAATGGGCGCATTGGAGCTAACTTTCAACTGCTGCGGCAACCGGGGCTACGAGGACTATAACGGCAATGTGCCCGGCACCTGTTGCGGCTACTCGAACCGCCAGCAGAGCTGCCCGGCTAGCATTTACGAGACCCGCCAGGGCTGCAATCAGAAATTCTACGATTTCTGGAGCGACAACAACGACATTGTCCTGTGGTCCGGACTGGGCATATGCATATACGAGCTGATTGTCTTCATCGTTGCCGGCATGCTGGCCAATTGCATGCGTAAAGCGAATGCGGGCAGACAAGTCTACGGTTAAGTTAATTCATAGTTAAGAAATCTGTACGTCTTACTGAAAATCAGAAATAAAACCTTTCGCTGGAGTGTTTCTATAAGTTAAAACGGCACAAAACACAGATTTTCTCTGTAGCTAAGTTGTGTAATTATCATATAATAAAATATATATAGATTATTAATGACTATTTTTCGGAGTTTGGAATGGGTTCTAAGAATATGAGTGTAAGTATTGCTCGTTTTTATCTACTACTCGAGTATCTATAGAGATCAATGGGCGTATATAGTCATAAAGGCAGGTGGACAACGGATCGAAGCTAGATTTGATCTAAAATTTGTGAGCTCTATATCCATCCCTCTCAATACTTTTGTCTGCATAAGTATTTGGTATTTAGTATTTTTTCCATGTGACGCCCAAAAGTATGATCTATAATATGTGAGCTCTATATCTATATATTCCTGTCAATGCTTTTTTCTACATAAGTATTTGGTATTTAGTATTTTTTTCTATGCGACGCCCGAAAATATGACCTATAATATGTGAGCTTTATATTCCTCCCTGTCAATGCTTTTTTCTACATAAGTATTAAGTATTTTCTCCTAAGTGCCGCCCAAAAGTATGATCTATAATATGTGAGCTCTATATTCCTCCCTCTCAATGCTTTTGTCTACATAAGTATTTGGTATTTAGTATTTTTTTTTATGCGACGCCCGAAAGTATGATCTACAATATGTGAGCTCTATATCTCTATATCCATCTCAATGCTTTTGTCTACATAAGTATTAAGTATTTTTTCCATGTGCCGCCCGAAAATATGATCTACAATATGTGAGCTCTATATTCCTCCCTGTCAATACTTTTTTCTACATAAGTATTTAGTATTTTCTCCTAAGTGCCGCCCTTTAGTATGATCTATAATATGTGAGCTTTATATCTCTATATCCCTTTCAATACTTTTGCATACATATGTATTTAGTATTTAGTATTTTTTCCATGTGACGCCCAAAAGTATGCAAAGCTTTTTAATACTCGCGCTCTGTTTGAAAAAGCTTACCCGCATTTGAAGATAACAAAAAAACTCTGCTTTAGAACATTTTGCAATTGTTGGAATAATGAATGCTCAGTGAGTGTTCGAAACCGAAACTGTTCAGATCGTAGTTATAGCTACTCGCGAGTAATACGAAATAAGTTATTGAATATGGATTGCGGTGGGGTTTTAGTTAAATATGTGCTCTTCGTATTTAATATATTATTTGTGGTAAGTTTTTGCACTCTCCCTCGAGAGGGGAATCGATACAATTTCACTTGAAATGAATAAAATCCACTCATACAATCGGCTGGCTATCTTATCTCAAGGAATAAGTAAAAAATAAACTCATGATGTTCGAAAACGAAAAAAAAAAGAAAAGAAGGCTCTTACGTGCGCGAATTATATCTGCCTTATCTTATCTTGTGTGGAGAAAAATGTGAACTCATACCGAGAAATGGCTAGGAATGTCGTGATTTTCACACATTACATGCCAATGCTGACCGTAATTATAGTAAATGAGCTGCAGCAGATGTTTTGAAACAATCGACAATTGAGCGATAACAGGGAATGAGTAATACTTGTTGTTATGACTAGACCGCAGCTATTTTCGAATTCAGGCCTAGCAGAAATACTCCAATGAAATATTTGCTTACTTTTTGTTGTTCTTGCTCTGCTTTAGATATGCGGCATTTTGCTGATCATATTCGGTTCTCTTATGGTCTCGGAAATCAAGGACTTTTCGAGCGTTGACCAAACCTTTACCGCAAATAGTGTCGCTATAATAATACTTATCTTGGGATGTGTCATCTTTCTGGTCTCATTTCTCGGCTGCTGCGGTGCCATTCGCGAGAACGCCTGCGGATTAACAACCGTAAGTTGATCTGAGAATTATAGCGAATATAAGAATATTAATGGTATAGATTTTGCATCATTTTAGTACTCGATCATCATGTTGGGTTTGTTCTTTTGCCAAATCGCCCTGATCATCTATGTGTGGATAAATCATGTGCAAATACGTGAATCTCTGGATAAAGTTGTGCAAACAATTTGGGAACAGCGAAAAACCGACGGCCTCTTAATGGATACTCTGCAGAAATCTGTAAGAATTACAGCGATTACTATAGAATAATATTCCGAAATGACATCGTACAAATTCCAGTTGAAATGCTGTGGCCTGCACAAGTTTTCCGATTACGGCGTTACCTATCCGGCCTCCTGCTGTGACACGCCCACAAATGGCACCTGTAGCTTGACGTCCGTCATGTTTAAGCCGGGCTGTAAGTCTGCCGTCGACTCTCTATGGGACACAAATGCCAATATTATCAAATATGCTGGCTTGGGCGTAACTGCAGTTGAGGTAACTTATGAGCTTTTTTTTTTTTGTAAACAAAAATCGTTCTGGTTCTAAAGTGCAAAATTACTCTACTTACAGTTGGTCGCCTTCATATTTGCCTGCTGTTTGGCGAATCAGACCCGCAACAATCAGAGACGGCAAAATTTTTAATCTTTTAACTAGACGCTAACCCTGCAATGACGAAATGTATCTCCTTATTATAACGCTCTTGTAGACGATATTATAATTTTGTCATGAATTATGTAATGCATAAAAGTATACACATCCGACCCTATAGAGTATATGTGTTCTTAGTGAGCTCTATGGGAAGAGTCGGTCGAATAATGAGTATTTGTATTGCACTTCAATATACTTACATATCTGCAAAGCCATAAGGCTAATGTCTACAAGGGTATTAACTCTTCGGTGTGCCGAAGATAGTCGTACTTTCTCGTTATTATATCACTATTAAATACAAATCGTGTATTTATAAATAAAAGCTGCAAATGCGGTAAGGGTAATCTATGCCCAACAGTTATCATAAGTGTTTTATCTTATTTTAAAAATATTCTAAAAATAGGGAAATTAATCGTGATTAGTTTTATTTATGTGTGATATTTGGTTAATGCTTCATGGTATATAAATGCTGTTTTTCATTAAGTCATAAGTTTTGGTTTTTTCACGTTAATTCATAACAAATTTCTTCTCAATAAACGAGGTATTATGTTTTTATATTAAGTAACTGCTTCCATTCCGGTGTCTCCCAAACGACGTCAATATTTTTTTTAATGAACTCAACTGCACGTGATTTAAGATACTCCATATTATAAAGATCGGCCAATTTAAGTAATTTGGCTGCATTTTCAGCTGACAAACTTGATAGCAAGAAGTCGGCGCACATTGCTTTAAGCCTATCGAGACAATACTTGTCAGCTGCGGCTAACAGCTCCTCAATTATGTCAGCCATGTTAGGCTTTTGATCCGTGTAGATGAATCGTAGCATTTCCCTGATAACATTATAATTGAAATCGGGTATTGTGATACAGCCCAACTCATTCTCCTTCGATGGATGCTTGAACATGGCCATGAAAACCGGGCTGCGAGCTGCATATATAAAGAGTTTGTATATAGAGTATTATAAGGCTGGATCGGTGCTCCATTAATTCTCACCTGAAAGTATGAGCCTATGAGCTTTTATTTTCTGTCCATCGCCCGTCACGATTGTCACATCGCTTAATGTCTCCTCTTCAAGAAGAGCGCCTAAATCATCAGCTAATTTAGATTCTAGAACCGGAATCGAAGATTTAAATATAATTATCTCACACGCTATGGTTAACTTGTCTCCTTCCAACAGAATTTCACTGTTATCTGATAGTTTATTATATTTTATCAAATCAAATTTTGCACTTTCGGGCAAAGTCAGAATTTTGAATGATTTGCTTTTCTCTTTGTCTGCTGGTATCCATACGCAGACCTTGCATTTAAATCGCTCCTTTCCCGAACACTTTGGTACGAAATGAACACTTAAATCATAAGAGTGCTTAGGAGTTTCTAATTCTAATTTAAACTCGATTTCATTAGTAAGGGTTTCATGGGGTGAATATGTTATTTGTTCTTCGCTGTAGGCTTGATAGTTTTCGATGGTCCACAAATAACTGTACGTAACAGTGTTATGGTCCGATTGGCAAGTGTCTACAAACACAATATCCGAATATGAAATATGAAAAGGAATTCTAGGGCTCCTTGGCTGCATTTGACTGCACGATTTTTGTCTGCGGCTTCTCAAATTCTTGTCGCAAATAAGACAGGGCTATTATTTCACCACGATCGAATGGGACCACATCCGTCATTCTCAGATATGCCAAATAATATTTTTTGGTATTTAGGTATTTGTACTAGGCATTTATTTTGAAAATGAATGTATATGATTAATTTTATATTATTTTTATATGAAAGCATTATTTTTTTTAAATATCTCTACTTGGTTTTTTCGAATCAGTTAAAAACACCAGAATTTAAATATGCACAGCAGATTTTTATAGTTACCGCAGTTTGGTCACACTGTAAACCAGTTTTGCGTCGTTGCGTTTGTGTTTGTCAAGTCAAATCAAAAACAGTTTTTCGCCGAGTCGGACGTGCCGTGCGCGTGTTACTTGAATAAAAAAATAATATAAAATAAAAAATCAGAAAAGGTAATGTTATTAAGTATTAAATGCCAATGTGCAGTTAAGCGAATAAGTGAATGCGCTGTGTACATATACATATGTACATAGGTATTTGCTGATTTGCTTCTGTTTCATTTGCTTTGTGCTGCGCTGCCCGAGATGCTGCAGCGGCAGCTGCTCGAAAAAAGATGCATGTGAAAGTGGTTGAAAACGGAAAGTGCGAAAGCACATTCAAAATAAAGACGACGCACTTAAAAACTCAGCTACTTAGTGAAGATAAATATGTATATGAAAGATGAAAATTAAATGATAATGTATGGTAATTGTTATTGTTACTGCTGCTTCATTATCCGTGTGAGCGAGTGCAGTGAACTTTTCTTCTTGGTTTTTCCTGTCAATACATGTTCTTGATACATTTGCTATCCATTATTGAAACTGTTGTTGTTGTTGTTGTTGTGGGTTGCTAAGACAACCCATAAAATTGACGAAGAATGGGAATTACGGCGTAAACATGTTTCAAGGCGCAATAATTTTAACTTGAATATTTAATTAGCAAGCATTGTTTTTAATTGCTGCTAACCATGACGCAATTATAAATTATTATTATAAGAATAAAGCACCGAAACACGAGTTCAAATGTCTGATTAAGAAAAAATTAAATCGGCTTGCTAACACGTTTGCCTTTATTGTTCATACAAATTTGTTTTTTTGCGATGGCCGAACCGGTTTTAGGGGCTTAATATGAACCTGAAATGTGTGACCAGTAACGAAAAATAAAGTTAAGAAGAAGAACGCCTGTAACAAATTCATTTTATTAACAATTACTATCGTATACATATCGCAATTGCCATCGCAGTGTGGCCAATTCAGCAATTTTGTAGCTAGATTTTGGCTATTTTCAGAGGTAGTCTGCCAGAAACTGTTGAAATTGGCAGGCATCTGTAATTTTGGCTTTAATTTAGCTATTTTTAGCTATTTTAAACATTGGTTTCAGCTGTATATTAGCTTGGAATTAATTATATAAATAGGCAGAAATATAAAACAAAATAGCTGAGTATGGTAAAGATTGCTGGATTAAGAACATATATGGAATCGAAAAAGTCAATTTCTATGCGTTAGGCATTTTGTGGGAAGCCTATAATAATAATACCCCCAAGGGGTATACCAAAAAGGGGGGAAAGCACAACTAATACGATATCAGGATATCGTTTTCTGCAAGCCAAATCAAATAAAATTGTGCTATAAAAAAAGCAATAAATAAATACAAAACAAGTTTATATTTGTAGCTCAACTTTCCATTAAATAAACACTCGACTGCATAAAATTAATTAACCGTATCGCATACAAATACAAATCATTTTAATCGTATGCATATTGCGTAATGGCATCCATTTTCGATATGCATTTGAATAATTTGAACTTGTTGTTTGCCGGCAAAAAACGTCAAAGTTAATTTGAATGTTTAAACAAATAACAACTACTAAATCACTTTCCTTTCATGCATTCCAGGAAGCAATAACTACAACAAAATGGATTGTGGAACATCTATGGTTAAATATGTACTCTTCGTATTCAATACCATTGTGTCGGTAAGTAAATGATATAAATGATAGAGAAAATGAAATCGAAATTCCCTTGTTAAGCTTAGTTCAATGGAAATATAGATATAGATTTCATAAGAGTACTTGCCAATTGCCATTTATTCGATTCGTAGAATCGCAAGTGTTTTGAACTGTGAATCCCAGGCGAATGGCCCTGGAAGTTGATCAAGACAAAGTATAATGGATTTATGGCAATGTAAACCTCTCCAAAGTTTAGGCTATGCAGCCATATCTCTATGCTCATTTCTAGATAGGCAAAAGGATCGATCTCAGGAACTTTGTACAGCGTATCTTCTATTCGAGCACTCTTGTTTTTTATTTCGTTTCATGTCAGCCTCGTTTTTGGCATGGCTTGTTTTGTGGCTATGACATCATCGTTTTTATATAATATATACGTAATTATGTGTGTGTATTCAGCTTCCCAGCAGAGGCGCAAACGCACACGCATACTTTTGTATCTGAATCTGTATCTGTAGCCATATCTGAATGTGGCGAGTTGAGCTGCTGCTGCTGCTGCTGCTGCTGCTGTTCGGAAATGTAGGCATAGCTTAATCAATTTCAGTTTTTATGAGAATTTCTTGGCTTTTGCTTTGTTTGCTTATTTTCGTAAGCTACTATATGGCAGCAGAGCCGCAGATTTGTTTAGATCTTGAGCTTGTATATTTTTTTTAAAGTCCAGCGTTTAATTTAATTTGCCCAGAATTCGACGGCGCATGATGTCATATGTTTATTCTCAAATGAATCAGTTTCCAGGCAATGCAACGCTGTCTCATCAGCTTTCTGATAAGATGAACTACACAACCACACACATTCAATAATTGTCAGCAATAACAGGGGCAACTGACGTGCTTCTTCGATCAGCAGATGCATGAGTCAACTACACCAGAGCCTTGTTATTTGCCGGAGACCTTATACAAAAGTATCTAGCTACGCATTTGAAATACTAATATGTATGGCAAATATTTGTGCGCATACAAATGGTAATAAAAACACACCCTAAAACCAAATAATCGTTCAACTGAAATATAGTTATGCATAATGTAAATATATATGTATATACATCAAGTATTAACCAGATCTTCGAACGTGTTCGCAGCGTATCGGCTGAAATGCTGAATAATACCAAATGTCTGAAAGGCGAATGCATTTTCTGAATTCTCCGATGCGCTTTCTAAAAATATATATTTCAGAAATTGCAAAACAACAAACGTTTTCTATTCTATTTCGAAATATTATATCACAATAGATAACTATTGTGAAAAACCCGGCTTGCTAGACCTCACGGCTTGGCCAGTGCGTTGATCATCAATCAGTCAGTCAGTCCGTCAGTCAGTCAATCACCGCAAATATATGTATGTGGATATTCGCACGTATATTTCTGTTAGCAATTTTGAAAGCTCGCTAAATTGACGCCCCTGTGAATCAGAAAAAAAAAACCAGAAAAAAAAAGAAACATGAATACGTCGACAAGCTCAACAAGTTAATAAATAAATAAGTCAGCAAGAAAAAAATTTTAAAAACTTGTTGCATTGCCCAGCAACTGGTGGAAAGAACAAGCACACGTTATTTACATAGTTCACATTTACACGTGCAGCACAGCAACTCGGCTCAGGTATACATAAAATACAAATATATATAAACACACACAGATACACATCTGAATCAGACGACGTGTTTGTGTGCAAGTGTGTGTGTATCTGTGTGTGCGTTAGTGTGTGTGTGTGTGTGTACATAACACACTTGACAGTTAAGGCAAGCAAATTAACAGGCCACAGCAAAAAGCCGCCTTTGAGCGTCGCTCGGCCAGACAAAGAAAAAAGAGCAGCAAAAAAAATAAAAAATAAAATCAAGCTCAGTTAGCTTTGTTTAAGCCGAAGTTTTGATACACTTGTCTGACAAAGTTGCCTTAAAATTAATATTAATATTAATATTAAAGCTATACTTCCTTTATAAAAAAATTGGAAAACAGGAAAATTTCTTTTAAATCCCCCAATAAATTTGTTAAATGTTATAGAACTCAGTTCGCGTAGCTCTAAAATTGCAGGCAGCTGCAAATAAGTTGAGAGCTAAGTTCAAATAGCTACAGATACATTTATCAATAAATGTAATGACATTTCTGACATTTGTGACCTCAATTAATGCGTTACACATTTCCTGACAAAGTGACAATACCCTTTATTAGAGTATGAACAACAAAAAACAACGCAACGCTCGAGAAAGCAACAAAACATTGTGCAATTCGCTTGGTTAAATACAAAAGGGAAACAACAGATACAGATACAGATACAGGTACATGTGTATGTGTATGTACACACACACACACACACACTCACACACACGCACAGTCAATGTCTATATGTTGGCGTGTATTTTACCCCGATTCATGCAATCATTGGAGTTTTTATTTTATTTTTTTGTATTTTCGACACGTCTGACTTTTGAGAATCAAATGCGAGTTAGAATTTTAGCTGCAGTCAGCTAATGACAAACTCGACTTGGTTTTGGATGTACTGTATATACATATATGTCAGATGGTTTCAGATGTTCTATATATACATATCAGATGGGTTTAGATGTAGTATGTATACATATATGTCAGATATGTCATGTTTTCTTGTTTATGCGGGCTTTGTATAGTTGTATAGTCAAACATCTAAAAATCATTAAATATTAAAGCATTAAAATCTGAAATTATTAAAGTAAATAAAAACTGTTCTATGCTTTGTATTAAACAGGTAGATAGATGGACATAAAGAAATATAAATAGATAGATAGAGTGATGGATCTATAGATAGATCGGATATGTACATAAATAGATGGATACGTAGATAGATATATGATAAATAGACGGATAGACATATATATATATATATATATATACAGGTAGGTAGGTAGATGATACATATATATGTAGATAGCTGGATGATTTATAGATAGTTATACAGATGATATAAAGATAGATAGATATAAAGATAGATAGATGGGAT